TCTTTCCCATGGACCATTAATAAGTGCTACATGTCATTCTATTTATTTTGTTAATGGATACAAATTTTACACAGAATGTCATGGTAGCGCAAGATCAACAATGAATAGTGGAGTTTGTATCTCGGACTCAAATTTTGGTGATTATTTTGGATGGATAAAAGAGATTATACAAGTGGAATACCCTGAAGCACCTTTGAAGCAAACTGTATTATTCAAATGTGAATGGTTTGATCCAACTATGGATGTTGGTGTCAAAAGGCATAATCAATACAAATTGGTTGATATTAATCAACGTCGTCGATATAAAAAATGTGAACCTTTTATTCTGGCAATGCAAGTAACTCAAGTGTGTTATGTGTCGTATCCCAACAAGAAAAAGGACAAAGATGACTAGGTAGCTGTATTGAAGGTCAAACCTCAAAATGTTATTGAATTACTTGATGAGGGAGTGGAGACAACCTCAGAACTGAATGTTCCATTCCAAGTTGATGAAGTTGAAGTCCACGAGATAGATATGACTATTTCCATTGATGAAAACATACTCTTAAATGATCCAAATGGGGATACAATGGAAATGGATGAACCCATCGATGAGGTTTATTGCAAGAGCATCATGAAATCCAAATAGAATCAACAGAAGAATATGAAACCGAGGAAACTGAGGAGGATGAAGAGGATGAAGAGGATCAGGAAGAGGAAGAGTTTGAAGAAGACATAGATACTGACTAGTGCTTGATAATCTGTTTTTGTATTTTCACCGTATTTTGTTTGTATTTAGGTTTCTCCAAATATTCTCATTTTATTTAGTTTCTGCTTTTCAAATTACGGTGATTAAAATCAGTAACTCTTGGATTTTAACCATGTGTGTTCTATTTCTTATTTTAACCTTTATTTAAATCTACTTGTAGCATTAATTAGTGTTATACAAACCAGGTAACTGAATGTTCCATTTGAATGAGAGTTGTTTTGTGATGCTTTGTATGCCTAGGAAATCTCCACATTCACCTTTTCCCCTCTTTTATCTACTGTCTTTTCATTATCATTGCTCATTTTACATTGGTTATGGAGTTTCTAGTGCCAAGTGTGTTGTCTTTGATGGCCAATCCAAAGAGAGTTTGTGTTCTCTTCCTTGGTACAGGGAAAACTGAAACAAATGTTATGCTTTGTGGTCATTTTACATTAGTGTTATACATACCAGCTTTGATGACAGAATGTAACCATCAGGTCTAGGTGCCTTATCAGAAGCACATTATCAGTCTCTTAAAAGGCTTCTACAGTTCCCTAATATCCTTTTCTTTGATTGTATTTCTGAAGCTCATTATTTGTGTAAATCTTCTAACCAAACTCAATGATAACTATTTCACTCTTTTATATGCAGGCATAAGTTTTTTCACTTGATCTACAAGCTTTTTATAGGTATTTTTAATATTTCAGCACACTTCGGTGAGATAGCTTAATTTGATTTATACTAGTGATAAATGTTTGACTCTAGTTTCTGGTTTTGCAATATTTATCTTTTTGGTCGAACAAACTGTTTGGTGATAGTCATTTGGTAGTCTCCTTTCATTCTCATACAACATGATATTATGTGGGTCTGCCTGTATCTTGTTTTGACATTGGATAAGTAGCTCCCATGCCTATTGTGTTTGTAGTTCCACATCACTGAAAGTTTCTTTATTTTGACATAAACATTTTTCAGGAAGCCAACTACATTGTTATATTTTTCAGGAAGCCAACTACATTGTTATATTTTTTTTATAGGTATGGATCGAGGCAAAGGTTGTGGGAAGTCCTTTGGTAGGAGTAGTCTTGCTATTCATGTAAGCATGCCAACTATTCCGATGCCCACTATAATTATCCTCAACAAGGTGGTACCACAACCGTTGAAACATCAGCTCGAAGTACCACCACAACTATCTCTGAGACACCTCCAGTTACACCAAATCAGAGTAGTCCCATAATTCAGGGTCTGTCTACTCAGAGCATCCCAACAGGTCGTAGTAATCCAATTGCTGAAGGTGATCTATCTACTCAAAGCAACTCAAGAGTTCATACAAACACAGTTGATGCTGATTCTAGTAGTAACCACTCACAGACCCTTATTTTTATAAGTTTTGGAGGGTTAGTCCACTCTTTTACTTTTATCCTCATAACTTGTTTATACTTAAGTGTAGTTAATACTGGTAATCTTTGAATCCACAAGTTCGAGTAAACAAATTATAATTTAAGGTTCCATGTTAAGCAATGCTAATTGATGGATCTGAAAAATCAGCAACCTACTATAATTTGAGTATTCTTTTTGTTAGCACTCACATATATAATGTCTGATTTATAATAAAACTCCAAATAATGTCTTCAAATTTACACAGGTTGGAACCTTCTATAATATGCTCTAGTTTCATAACCAAGTCTTTCAGAAATGATGTTGATCCCAATGGAATCAATTGGAAAAGTGTTTCAAACGATGTAAAAGATGGTTATTTTGGATAATTTAAGGTATTACGTTTCATCGTAGATAAGTTTGGAAAGTGTATTCATACTTATAGATAGGATATTGATATATTACTTTCAAAATTTATTTCAGAAAAAATTCTATTGGGATGTTTCTATTAGTGAAAGTGAAGTGAAGAGACACTGGTTGGTCAAGGCGGCTAGAAAATACAAAAAAATTATTTCTAAAATAAAAAGGGGAGGAGTTAGGCCAGTTTTTGCACCTAAGCATGTTTGGGAAAGATGGACACAACTTTGGGGAAGTGATGAGTCTAAGAAAAAGTCAGAAACAAATACAAGGAATCATCGTGGCGGTCGTGAAATTGCTACTGGGACTCACACAGGTGGCTCCATCTCAATTGGAGAGCATCGCAAGAAACTTGTAAGTATATATTTCACAAATTATATAAGTAACATCTTTAGGTTGTCTGATATATACACTTGTATCTAAATACACATTATGAAATAGATATTTTTTTATCTAAAAAGTAATTTTTCTTTTGTAAAGGCTATTGAAAGGGTCGAGATCCAACACCAAGCGAGTTACATTCCATACGCATGGTCATGATGGTAAATCTTTTGTTGGCGAACGCTCTCGAATTGTTTATGTAAGTCCAAAACTTTGAAACCTATCTGAATATATACATGTCATTTCTTATTAGAAGGGAAAACTTGGCTGAAAATGAATATTAGTTTAGTTTCATGGTTGGATGTTGTTATCTTGTTGCTCAACTGATGTGTGGACTGTTTACTTCTTGATCTTTGTAATTTGTTCAGATGTTAGAAATTTCTTAGAGTGTTTCGACTTATTGTTAGAGTGTAAATCAGTGGTGTAACTTGTTTGATATTCATGTTGTTTGCTTGAATTTTGTCTCCTTGTAATCTTGATGATTTGGTTTAGTCTCGAGTTCGTTTCTCCTTAGTAAGGTCCTCTTATTTCACTGTTTTGGTTGGCTGTGAAAGTCGTGGTTCAGTCATGAAGTCCGAAATCATTTTCTATAGGAAAACATAAATGGTCGTACATGCCCTGTTATCCTACATTACGAGTTATTTTGTTTCAAGTTTGCTGTAGCTAAGAATTTGAGTTTAAACGAGTCGGAAAGCTATCTGTTTCAAGCTGCTGAAGTATTCTTTTGTGTTGTTTTCTTTGTTAAAGTTCCTTCCATTCTAACTAGGCGACTGTTTGTTGTTTTCATCATCCTTACCCTTAAGTCGAGATAAGACAAAATTTTAGTGTTTACGTCTAAGTTAAGTTCGATTCAATTATATTTGGCTGCTTCTTTCTTCATGCTCCAACTTTGCTCTCTTTTCACTGCTCAACGTTGTGTTTGAATCGAATTTAAGTCTCCACTTTGTTTAGATTATAGTTGGTAAATGCCTACCATTTGTAGTTTTAAATATGAACTTCATAACATGTTTTCCTTATCTTTGTCTTGTTTTGGTTTTCATGAGGATTGTTTTAGTTCTCTTCACTACGGGCGTAAAAGCTGCCCGTAGTGATGTTATTTCAACATCTGTTCTATGTCCCTCTTCCCCCAGTCCAGTAGTTTCACTGAGTATCACAGAGGATTACAAAATGTGCATGTTAATAAAAAAAAATATGTTATGAGAGCAGAAATGTTTTGAGAATTCTGGATTGCAACATGTTCAACTATTGTGGTAGCCTTCACATGTTTCTTCTACTAAAATCCTAAAACAACAAAACATAGAATAGAATAATAATAATTGAAAGTTGTCCATTTGCAGTTACGTGTGTTGAGTCAGACAAACACAAACTAGACTTTAACCAAACAAATCCACATGAAAATTACGCTTTCTCAGTTGATTCTTTCTCAATTCAAGTTTGATTCTCCAAACTTAGATGCCCCAAATACTTTTACAGTACTAATTTTAAAATTCCCTCTCTTTTTAGAAAGTTCCAAAATTCAACTCATTGTGATTTGGGGGTTTTAAATGGCTGATAAGGAAGAGGGAAACTTGTGAAATTTGTTGTACAAAGAGTTTTAAGATGATTGAGTTTTGCATTTACTGTTAGCAGAGGAATTGTGAGAGAAAAGACACAGTGTGAGAATTCTGGATTATAATTAAATGCAAGCTCAACATTTCAATAGGTATACATTGTTGGTCTAATGTATACACTGCTGGTCTAAATGCAGGCTTAGCATTTCAAGCCAAATGTATTAAGCATCCAAATGTATTAAGCAATTCAACCTAAATATTGTTTCCCGTTTTATTAAGATACCTCATATAGACATGTCTCCAAGATGTTTTCACTAATAGAGTAGCCCAAAATAACCAGAAACTTGTGATGAATCCAATTGCCATGCTAATATAGAATGATGATTCATCAAATCAGTTGTCTTCCTCATGCTGATGAATGGCCTGCACATCTTTTTTCTTTGCTAATATAGAATGATGTATATCTTCCTCATACATCAAGTCAGTTACAATGCTAATGAATGGCCTACAGAAATATAGAATGATGTTACAGTGAGTTATGTCTCACGAAAATGTCCTGGGCAGCTTTGGGTATTCCCAATATAAGAACTATTATCCAAGGTTAAATTAGACATACAACATTTCTGCCTTTTCCTTCCATTATAATTTTATTCCTAATCTTTAATGTTTTCTCTTTATCTCAATTTATTACAGAAAAAATATGAAGAAATATTATGAGAAAAAGTAACCTCTAAATCTGATATTGATCAATGTGAAGCATACTATCAAGCTGCCAGAGGAGAAAAGAAGAAAAGAATATTCGGTCTTGGATCTGAAGCAAAAACTTACTATGGGCAGAATCTTTGTGCCTCATCATCTATAGCACCTTCAGTTTCTCAATCAACATCAACAAGAAATATGGATGTGTTTGTGAAGGAAATGATTCATGCCCTTACTAATCATTTTCTTTCGATTATTATGGAGCGGGTACAACAAGTGGTTAATCCCATTGACAATCCATCACTTGTGACACCCATGATGCCTCCTCCTGCTACTACTAATGAGGACGAGGTTGATTCCTTAATTTCAAGTGATGAGGGTATCCCTTAATTAGTCTCTTTTAGCTTTAATTTTTGGATGTTTGTGTTTTTGAAAAGTACAAATTGTGTGATAACAATAGTTGATGAATTCCTTTTGATGTTTTGTAGTGAAAATATGTGATTAGGATTTTGCTATCTATAGATTTTGAACCCTCTAAATATTATTTTATATGAATGTTTGTTATTTTAGAGGTATTTAGTAATTGTTATTAATTTATTTCAGCAATGTATATTTAAAATAAATAAATGAAATTATTTTACAAGAAAATTTTTATTACAAATTTAATGGCGATTTGGTCGTTGCTATAAAAAAATATTGGCGACGGATTAGCAACGGAACATTTTAGTGGCAAATATGTTGGCTTAAATAACAGAATATTTTGTGAAGGATTAGTGACAGAAATTTCGTCGCGACTTTATTTGAAATGACGAAATTAATGATGAACTTAGCAACAAATATTTTGTGACGGATTAGTGACGAAAACTCCGTCATGAATTTATTTGAAATGACGAAAGTAATTGTGAAATTAGCAATGAACTATATAAGTACAACGACGGACCAGTCCATCACTAAAGTTGCGACGGACTCATTTTTCGTCGCTAAGATATTACTTCACGAGCGAAATACTAACAGCCAAAAATTCGTCGCAAATCCAGTTTAGCGACGGAATACCATAGATTAGCGACGGATTTCGTCAGTTGCTAAATGCTATTTTTTTTGTAGTGTATATCGCCCAATGACTCAAAGCGCCAAGATGTTGAAGGCTAAAGCAAGAAGGCGATGAAATCGACCAAAAGGCGGATCGTCGAGTGCATCGGTGATCCCGACTAACTGCGTCGAGTGATCCGCTGCAGCACAAATTTTCTAACACTATAAATACTTGTTTAAATTGTTAACTTAGTATCAAGTCATAGACAATTATTATTCAGACTTAGAATATTTTCAGTTTCAAGTTTTAGAGGGTTTTGGAGACTTTGTTCTTACACCTTGAAGATTCAAAGGGTTTCATCTCCAAGAAATTGGACTTGGGTCTCAAAGATTCTTCACTCTTGACGTGTTTTAAGACTTAATTCTTCATACCCAGTTGTTGGAAACTGATATTAGTATAAATTTTTATCTCTTCTACATATCTAGTTAAAACCCCAATTCTTGGGGTGTGATTTTGTGAATACGGGTTAGATTATCTGTTGGGTCATGCTTGTTGATGGTTTATTTGTTGTTTAAATGTGATTTTGTTTAGTAGTTGTGTATGAACTTAATGGGATTGTAGTTGCAATACGATTTCATCTTAGTGTTTTTGGCTTTGCTCGAGAGAGAGGTCGTAAAACTAAGACTACTAAATTGATAGTCGGTGATATTGGGTCGATATGGATTCAGCTCGAGAGAGTGAATCCTAGTCCTTTTCCCACACATTCAGCTGGAGAGAGTGAATGGGCTAAGGCGGAGGTTGTGCTTAATGCGGCAACTCGGTGTTCAAGAGAAACCGAGTTGATTCGGGGTAAGTTACTCGAGAGAGAATTTACCCCTACTATAGTCTAGCCTAGTCACAAATGTTCAACAATCTACCATCAAAAGCATGTACCCGATAGTCTAGTTTATCCCGTATTCCTATCACATCCCAAGAATCCCGTTTCCCTATCTCGTTTCCTTATATTTTTACTATTTTTAGTTGTTAATTAATACAAACCCCCATTGATAATTGATGATTGCATCATCCTTTAGATTTAATATGTTTTTAATCGTTAATATCTATAGTTATGACTAATTAGAACTAGATTTTATTTTTCTATTAATTATCAAAACCACTCTTTGTGGGACACTTAGTAAAAAGATATTATAAGAAAATCTTAAAAATAAGTTACTCACCTACCACACTACCACTTTCATGAATCTCCCAACAACCAGTTCCGCTACGAAAAATGGTAACTGGTTGTTGGGAGATTCATGAAAGTGATAGTGTGGTAGATGGTAGTGTGGTAGGTGAGTAACTTATTTTTAAGATTTTCTTATAATATCTTTTTACTAAGTGTCTTAATCTTAATATCTCTTTAATATTATTTTTTGGTAGTGCTAAATTCATGGTGATATGTAATAAGATTTATTGTAATATTCTTCCGATAGTTGTTTTAATCTGAATATTTCTTTAATATTATTTATGATATATTCTAGATATAACATATCTTCGGTTCTTTGGTACATATATAAATTTTCCTCCATTATTTGTTCTAATAGTTTTATATCTTCCATAGATTTTATCCAATATTGTAAATATTCGTAGTTCATTTTAATCTGAATTTATTTCTAAATCATATCATTCTATTATTTCGAAGTCTAAATCATGTAGGTCTATTTCATACCATTCTTGATTTAATATATCTTCTGATTCGTAATCATTAAATATTTTTTTCCATATTATTCTTCTTAATTTGATTATTTCTATATTTTTAAGTACATATAATATTAAAGTTTCGTAGTTTTTTTATCATTTCATCATGCATGTATGTAGTCATGTTCTTTATTATGCAGATTTTTTATTTCAAATTATTCCTTCCTATCATATTCATAATTGATTAAATTCATATTAGATCATTATGAACCAGATTATCTTTATCATGTTTTCCTGTCACTACTAGCATCGTACTTTAGCGGATACTTCCTTCTTATCAGCGCCTCAACTTTGTTTACTTCCCTAAACGGCTTCCTCGCCTACCGGTTTCAACATTAGGATGGCATAGTATAGAAGTTTTCTCCTTGTTTCCAGTGTGCTAATAAACTAGAAATCATGATTCAAATAATTCTAATACATAATAACTAACATAAATTTATTCAATCATATATATGATATTCAGGAATATATGAAATTAGTTCCGCATATTTTTTGAACAATATACCTTTGCCTCTTGCTTAGCCATGCTATCTGAACTATCTGACTGGATTTCAGATTTATCCATTAACTTTTAAGTAATTAGTATCTTAATAGAGTTTTTATTTAGGCGTTGCCTGCCTTTACAATGTTTACTACTAAGTCTATATATAGACATACAAATTTACTATTCTAAATACTTATCCTAACACATTTTTTACACATGTCCATTACTATTTACTACTGTTCATGACTACTATTCATGAATAGTTCTTATTTTGTCTACCACTATCCTCTTTACGACTTATTTGCACATATTAATAATGTACACTATCTACCACATACACTTGTCATATTTTGTACAAAAGACCCATACCTACTTTATGACAACTATTATGACTTTTACGTTTACATTATTTTACACATAACTTTTTCCGTTCATATCTCTTTCTCTTTTTTGTTTTCTTCCTCGTTGATTATTCTAGCTGGACGTCTAGAATTATATTATTTTCTCCGTTGCACTTTGAACATATATGGTCCGGGTATTTATGACCAATTAGCTTGCAATATCTGGTTAATAATTCTGCTGAAATAAATCCTTCTTTTAGTGCTCGTGTCGTAGGTCGTTCTTCTGGCTTTAGTAGTGATAAAATCCATCATTGGACTTCATCCATATCTGCTTTCCTTAGCTCCCTTGAATTGGAATAAATCATTAGCTGGTCTCTTGCATAGTAGCTCCATATAGCGTTTCCGTTTAAATAATTATTTGCTAACTCTTGTATAATTGTTGATATACCAATTATCCTTTTGTTGGCATAAAAACTTGGTATCTCTATTTTGCATATCTCTTCTTGTTGTCCGATATCCTCGGATATAATCATTAGTTAATCCTATCTTGATAACCTGTATTGGAGGTTTTATTTCCTCGTATAATATTTTCGCTGGTGCTGTATAGAATTTTATATAAAATAAATTTCCTTTCGTAACTCTTTTGTATGTGATGAATGCTTTGTGTAGTTCTAGTATTCCACTAACTTCTTCTCCGTCATATGTGTATACGGTATTTAACAGTCTGTAGTTATAACATGTTCTTACTAAATTAGCGTTAGTTTTCAGTTGTGCAATTAACTTGTTATATCCTTGTAACTTTTGTGTCAAATAATCTTGGTTTGGTTCTTTTGTAGTTGATCTGGGGTTGCGGTTTAAATAGGTTTGGATTTTGTGGATATTTTCAATATAGGTTCGTGTGATGTAGTTATATGTTTTTTTCTCATTTTGGTTTTGCAAACTATCTGCGTATGTAGATGTTTGTGGTTCTATGGACATATGTCTAGGTGTCCTTTGGGTAAATGATTTTGCAAATAGCTGGTTTAAGTTCACATTTTTATGTTGTTTATCGCTAACTTGTTTGCTTGTACCTGCAGCTGTATTTAAACAAACGTTATGCGTTTTAAGGAGTTTTCCATCGTCTCCTTTTAGCTCTGGCTTTTTTCCGTCTTCCCGCTCGACGTAGCTCCTCATTTTTATAGTCATGCTGTTGACTAGCTTTAGACTTCAGATTATCTTTATTAGTCTTTAGCTTTTGTATCTCGTTGTCCATACTATCCACTTTTGTACAAAGTGTAGTAATAGCTTTGAGTATTTTTTCGATTGTATCTTCTTCCTCAGTCTCAGTCTGAGTAGCTTTGTCGTGATAGCTAATCTGCAATAACATTCTTATCAGTTTTTATTACTTCAATTGTAAATGTAAAATTTAATATATTTAATACCAATCTCCTTATTTCTTTTGTTGTTACCGAATCTTGTATTTTTCTCGTTAGCCACCATTTTACTTGTGTATTATCTGTTCTTATGATAAATTTGTTATATACAATATATGGTTCAAATGATAATAAACACTTATATACTGAATATAATTCTTTTCTATTTATTTCCCATTTTATTTCTATATTATTAAATGTTCCTGAATAATACCTGCAATGATGTTCTATCGTAGTGTCATCATACCTGTATTTTAATATTCCTCCATAACTTTTTTCACTCGCATCTAATTCTATTATATAAGTAAAAATTTTTGTTTTCATCTGGAAAGTATAGTTTAGGTAAGTTTTTACATAATGATTTTACCTTTTGTATTTGTATTTAG